TCAGTATGTAAAAGTCACAACAATTTGTAAATAACTAATATATATACAATAAAGACACACCATACTGACCTGACTGCAGATTAAAAAAAAAAAATTGATTTATAAATTTAATCAAATTAAATCAAATTAGATTTTAAAAATTTTTGATTTATAAAAAAACTCTCTCACTCACATCAAAACTATCAAATTAGAAAATACTTAAGGAAAACAAAATTTTGTCTAAAGAAAAAATCAAAAGGGAGGAGAGCTCACCTTCAAAATCTCCCAATATAAATGCCCAATATACCTTGCTAGATATAGTCTTAACTGATAACAAAAGGAATCTCAAAGTCTTCATTATTTACAAAAATGACAAACCATTACAAATCTATGTCACTAAACCAGCAAAAGAAATTTATGTCCCATCTTTTAACAACCATTCTAGCTCTTGGCTTATTCCTATCACAATAAAGCACACCAAATCAATAGAAGAGTCCATCAAAGTCATTTAAGTAAAGTTTGAAGTTATAAAACAGTTTCGCAAATCTCAACTCAAAGTAACTGCCTTACTTTTAGATTCCAAGTTATTAGAGATGCTGAACTAATTTACTAAACATCAAACAGATTTTAAACTGGATACAAATGACAGAGAGCATATCATCAAGGAGATGGTAAAGAATGCCTTGAACTATAACCTATATCTTCCATGAAGTGGAGTGTAATTATTGTCAAAAAATCTCCACAAACCTTCAAAATTCAAAAAACTGAATCCCCTAAACTCCCTCCAAATATTTCAGCCCCAAATGAGGAAATGAGCAACAATAATGACTTTCAGATTTATTGTTTTCCTGAAACCATGCATGCAGAGCCCCTTATGTGTAACAAAGATCACCCCAGTCCTCAAGTAACAACTGCAACACATATAGCAGGTCATATTAACCCTTATACATCAAATGTAACACATGAAGTAGATCACACCAGTTTACCCAAGTACTATGCTTACATTATAATTATCCATAAGTGAAGCAGTCACATCGTCATTTACAGGTACCAACAGTACAAATATGGAAGCGGATAATAATCTTACCCCAATCCAATCAGATTCATCTCAATTTTAGGTAATTTACTCATGGGCAGATAAAGCAAAAGAAAAAGTCAAAACCAAACTTTCATTCCTCTTAACTATAAACAATAATATCAGAGATATTAACTCAAAAGCTGAATAAGCAAAGCTAATTAAACTGTGCAGAGATCTGATAATTGCGAGTATACTCTCAAAGCTATTGTCAACTAGATCTTGAAATTAAGAGAAGAAAGCAATTCAGGCCTAAAGCCTAATATCAAATCCATTTTCACTAAAATCCTACATAGGAATTAATATTTCTTCATAACCTTTGCCAGGGAGTAAATCATCAAGGGTCAATACTAGAGAGAGTATAAAAATATAGAGAAAAAGTTTCATGAAAATTACATGAAAAACAATAACATCAGATACATCAATCAAGCTATCAAGAGAAAAATCAGAATTATTATTAACAAAACCCTCACAGTTGCCTACATCAGATGCCACGGACACCAAAACAATAAAATTCTGGCAAATAGTGTAGATACTGGAATACCTCTTTAACTTCTTTACAGTATCAATCCTACCCTGAACAAAATAAACTATCAAGAAATTTACACTCAATATGAAGAGCGGATAAAGAAAAATCTGTCTAACCTTCCTCAATTATCAAAAGAAATCCCTAGCTCAATCAAAATTAAATTATCAAAGGCAATACATTAGTATTACCTAGTTACATTACTAAAGTTGCCAGGAGCCTTAGAGCATTCTATAACTTTGACCTCCATCTAAACACCTTTTTTATCCAAAGATCAAATCTCCCAGAAAACCCTTCGATACTCAAAGGAGAGCTCAAAAAGCTCTTCTTCTCCCTTATCAAAAGAAGTGACCTCAGAAATCTCAGGCAGCTTACAAACCAACTCAGAGATGTCTATTATGTCCTAGCAAAGCTCCCAGAAAGCTACTTCCAACTGTTCCCTCCCAAACAGACACTTCCAGCCTTATATAAAGAGTTGCCTCATGATCTGTGATTCTATTTTTCAGTTGATAACAAACCTAAAGTGATGAAAAAAGTAATTGAAATCCTCAGACAGCACAACTGTGCAGTGATACACTTCTTCCTAATTACATCAGAGTCTTGTACTCCTTGCTCCCAGACCACTGATTCAGTAAAAATAATGAATTCAATCTACCAATCACCCACCAAGAGGACATAGAAGAATTCATTACCAATCTCTTTCACAAGTTCAAATTTTAGCTTTCATTAGGACTGCAGTGGATCAAAAAAGGTCTAGTTCAAGACAAGTACCTTCCAATATTCAAAAAGTTGGAGGAGATAGAGATATACTTCAATATCAACAAAAAACAACTTCACAGAAAGTCACCAGACTTCTTAGCAACAATAAAAAAAATTAAACAAACATAGAAAGGCCAGATTCCATGAGAATGGATTTTTCTGGTACTTCCAGAACTGCTCTCCCTACAAGAAATAAACAAATACTTCAGCCAATAAGAAATAGATATTACCCTACTTTTAATAGAAGATTAATATATTAATACTGCAATTCAACTTCTCTGAGTTCACTTTTTCTTTGGCAAACTTCCAATGACCTTTATTACTAAAACTGAGTCACCTGACTCAGATTGACTCTCTTAGACTGTCTCTTTTAATGAGTATACAACAGATTCCAATCATTCCTTTAATCCAAAACTCTCATCCCCACTCCAATACAACCCCTTCTCAATCATCACCCCACTGGATTATGAACAATCAAAATCCAAAAATGGAAATTTAATAATCATCTCAACTTTAAATATCCAAAGACTTAATGAAAAGGGAAAGTTTCATACCTTCATAGAAAACATAAATAATGAGAGAGCAATCTTATGCTACTCAGAAATCAAGAATACAATCTGCAACCCGTTGCCTAAAAAAAATCAAAAACAAAACTATTATTTCTAGTCAACCAGCTTCCTTAGCAAGCAACGGTACCAGCATCATTTTCTACAAACCAATTTCAAACCATATTTACTACACATTTGCTTTCAATAAATTCTGGTGTGCAGCTTACCTTAAATTCAAGCCCAAAGTTAACATCATAATAATTTCTTATTATCTACCACATGAACCAACCATAAGAAAAAAAGTATTCAAAACAATCAGAGACTTAATTAGGCAATATACAGCAAGCACATCATAATAGTAAGAGACTTCAACTCCTTTCCCAACTCATCTCCCTCCATCAATGCACCCTTTCTGGCTTTCAAGTGACAAGTCTATAGGCACCTACATAAGTTCATTGATGTTACAAAGACAACCAAAAAAGTGTCAGAATATACACACATCACATCCACAAGTGCCTCAAGAATTGATCATATTTGAATAATCGATAACTTGAAAAGCAAGATAATTAGTTACAAAGTTTTCGATTAAACAGCCATACTTACAGATCACAAACAAATACTATAGTTCTTGATTGGTTTGAGTACAAATCTAACAGAATCTTCTTCTCAACCAGCACCTTCCTATTCTATTAGACAACAAAAGAACAAGTTCAATTGATGCAGAAAGATATAGAACTCACCCTTGCCACAACTAACAACATCTCCTGGGAAGCCTTTAACCTGGTTATAAAGTACTTCATGGAATCCAAGATTCCAAAACAAAAGCAACAAAATCCTATCTAATCAAACAAATCCCTTGCTAGATACATAAATGCAATAAAGTTAATCAAAAAATCAATCAACAACCTTAAACACAATCAGAGCCAATCAAAACTATATCACTTGATCGACAAAGCCATAAGGAAACTCTCTAAGAACTCTCTGAAGATTAAGACTCTGAGAAAAGCCCAAAGAGTTCTCCTCAAAGAAAAAATGTTTAAAGCTAAACAGATAGTAATGAATGAAATCTGAATCAGTATAGAAAAAAACTACTACAGATTCTGGGTGAAACCAATGGCATCTCTCAAAAAAGCTCTAGGAGATCTCAAACCATCTCTAATCTATTAATACTATCTAAAGGAGACTAGCTGTACGATGACCCAAATAAATTAAGCAAAATCATCTCTGATTATTTCAGAAGTATCTTAATACAAAATTTCTTTGAAATGGAGGAGAAATGGACAGAATACTACAACCCCATCCCAAGCATCAATAACACAATCTATTCAAATATACTTAGCATTATAACTCCAGAAGAAGTGAAAGATGTTCTTAGTGATCTTCCAAAAAACAAGGCACTGGGTCTTTCTTTAATCCCATATGAAGTATGAAAAAACCTAGGGAAAAAAGCTCTCAAATTGATAGTCGAACTATTTAACAAAGTTCTTGAAATATTGTGAACCTCATATCACTAAAAACATTTAGTAGTAGCCCTGCTTCCCAAAAAAATAGTATGGTCACATAAATTAGCTGATATCTATCCAATCTCCCTTATAAAATAAAGTAGGAAAATCTTCACAAAAATCATAAACAAAAGACTTACTCAATCCTTACTCCAATATAATATCCTCTCCAGTTGTAACTTAGTTGGACTCAAGAACCAAAATATAATGAAATCAATTACAATTGTGCTCACAAAAGCTAAGCAAGCCAAAACCCTTAATCAAGAGCTTTGGATTGCCTCCTTTGATATCTCAAAGGCATTCGATACAGTCAATCTTGACAGCCTTCATCACACCCTCAACAGAGTCAAAATACCTACCAAGATCACACAGCTCATCCTGAATCTTCTAATAAAAAGAGGGCTCAAAATCATCATATACTACAATCTGAAAAACCCTTTAAAAATCAGTAATAGCATTGACTAGGAAGAGATTCTAGCTTCCCTCCTATGGACGATCTTCTATGACCCAATGGTTACTAGAATCTCAAGTAGCTTTGATCCCTCATCAGCAATATTTGCATATATAAATGATATGGAACTTATAAGCCAAACATCCATACTCTTCAAAAAATGACAAACACATTCTGCTCCTTTCTTAAACTAAACTCAATTAAGTACAACAAGAAGAAAACTGATCTAATTAACAACATCAAGACCAGGATTCAGCATGCAAATCAAATCTTAATGGTCAAAGAAAAGCTCATCAGCCTCAAATCTTATAAAAAAGCAATCAAATATCTAGAAATCTATCTCTTCAGATACTCATTAGCAAAGGTAATCAAAAACAAACTCAAAGAGAAAATAGATAAATTCACAAAAGCAATTGCTAGTCAGAAGGGATGGAATGGTACCATCATCAAATAAGTATCCCATTGGATCATCTCTGCACAACTAGACTATGCAACACAAGTTTTAGTTTTAAGTGATAATGAATGCTCCCAACTTCAATCAAAAATGGCTAGAGCTATTAAGCAAAAACTAGGAGTCAAATGGACCCTCTTTAACAAAGTTCTCTATTCTCATGCAGGCTTGAGCATCATAAATCTATGAGATAGATGAGACCTTATAGCAGTCAAACTTCTTATTGCCAAACTGTCTAACAAAAAAACTATTTCAGATATCAAACTGAAAATTCGTTTTATTCAATCTGTATACACAATTTGATGCTGTTCAATATACAACCCACAATACTTTGAGAACTTATGGATAGTCTTAGCTATACTAATTACTAAGAGATACAACATCAATATACTATGTCTACACCCCTGCCCTTTTGACCTCAAAAACTAATGAATACTCTATCAGTCTTATTATAAAAATGTCTAAATATACAACCTTGACAATCTCTAAATCACAAATTTGTACCATTCAAAATCTCCTGATCTTTAATCAACCACTTAAACTAATATGGGATGAGCTTCACACATACAGAGGAATGATAGCCCACGATAGAATTCCACCATGGTTCAGTGGAATTCAAATTAGTGACATTCAATAATTGAAAACACTTTACTCAAACTATACCCTAGACCAATGTTCTGGACATATCTATCGAACAACAATTTAAATTTTATAAAAGTCAGAAAAAATGTTATCCATGCAGATCCAGTTAGAGGTCTTCACTATCTCATCAATATCAACTCAAAACAACTGATTCCTTGTCACTATAACAGAACTTCCTGCACAATAACAAAAAACATCTCAGAATTAAACTCCTTCGGGACTATCAAAAAACTGGGACATTACTACCTTTTTAACAATATTTTAGAACTAAAAGAGTCATCAAAGATATGCCTCCCAATTAACTTATAACCAGGCATTCTGATTCATCCCAAAATCCAAAGAGCACCTTTGGACATAAGCATCTCACAAGTCAGAAATCAATTAGTCATTCAGGAATCACTCATGACCTATTCATATGATCTCAAACTCAATTTTTGAATAAGCTTTTGACCTATAATGAAGGAATCAATAAAGAATAGTCCTCCTAATTCCTCAGTATCCATCTCACTATGTCACTTCCCTGCCCTAACAATTCCTGAGTACTCCAATAGACAAGTCGAAACATCATTCAGCAAATACATTAAAAATATAAGTCAGCTCTCCCAGAAAAACAACATCTCTATTTTATGGATCAGAGAAAAGAAAAACAAGAATGTCAACTGCTCTATAATATCTAATGCTGATACTATACAACTCCCTACCTATCCTTCTTCAATGCATGGACCCTCACTTCTAATTAATAAATTCCATATCACCAGTGCAGTGCACTGGATTAAGTTCATTAACTACTACTCCAATCTTTTCAACCTTCTCTTATGCCAGTCATTTATATTGTCATAGATTAATCTGGCAAGTCCGTTGCTAATCTGTAGCATCTTGCATAACTCAGACATCTCACAAATACTTATAAAGAAGAAAACATCTTCTATAAAGAACACTTAGGAAAGGCAGAGGCATAGTGATTGACTTGGCCAAAGATAGGTATCTCTTATTGCATTCTGTTTCTTTGAGATATCACTAACTCTTATCTCTATTCTCAATGAGAACTGTTTTTCCTAACACATTCAGTTCTACCTTTTCAGTATACATTGGTAAGCTATTTATACTTTTCTAACTAACAATGGACTATCTACTTTATAATCGGCTATACTAGTCCTAAGCTTTGCTAAACTTTCCATACCTTTTCAGATATACATAGTTTCCTTATCAGTACACAGCCTTATCTATAGTTTCTTACCTTGCAACACTCAATCTTTCATGGCAGACTTTCAGATTTTGAATTCTAAATTATTACGCATAAATTGCATTACCCACGTAACCCATAACAATATATAAATCTCAAATGTTTAAACAAATAAAAACTATTAACAAATTAAACAAAAAAATTAACAATAGGAACCAAGTTAGATATAGAGCCCTAGCAACCTTCAGAACCAAACTCATTGTCAATCAGCTTCCAACCAGAGCAAAACTTCACAAAAGATATTCAGGGTTGTATAACAGTGATCTCTGTCCTTGATACAATGTATACCCAGAACCCCTAAAACATGTTTTTTCTTGCTATCACATATGTATTTATATAAATAGTAAAAATAACAAGCTTACCAGCCTAATTTCACAATACCTAGATAAGGCTTCTTTGCCAAGAAGTCAAGCCCCCTACATTGACCTCTTCAGTTCTAACATATTCAATCTCTCTTTAGGCATCTTTCGGCCTCCCTTGATATTATAAAAGATAAGTCAAACATCTTAAATAAAATATTAAAATCTTATACAAGATCTGAAAACAAAGATTTGATACTACCTCAATTTCAATATTCTTAGGAAATAAGTGGAAAAAAACAAAAGCAACAATAGATCCGGCAGTGACAAAAGGTATCAATAACAATACAATCTTTACCAAAATCTTAAATATCTTAGAAAACAATAATAACTATACTGACAAAATAATCTTCACACCAGTAGTTATTTCATTATTTTGAGTGGATATTATCCATTCAGCACTAGTGTTGTGAACACACCTTCTGGATATAAGTTGGCATAACTGGTTTAGTCACAATAGAATACAATTAATTTGTATTTGTATTTATATAAATCAAAGATTATTAATATAATGGCACCAAACTATTGTTTAATAAAAAGCCTCACATTTAAATATCCATTTGTGATAAAAAAAAAAAATTTTTTTTGATTTATTTTTAAACAAATTAATTTGGATTTTCAAGCTCTAAGATTTAATAAGATCAGATTTTTAATTTTTTTTTTTAATACCCTCTGTTTGGCTAGGTATATATACTTTATTAAATATATATATACTTTATTAAATATATATATACTTTATTAAATATATATATACTTTATTAAATATATATATACTTTATATTAAAAATATATTGCTAAAGTTAATTCTCTATCTAACTTACTCATCTCTATTTTAAGAATTATTAAAACTTTAAGTGCAACTTCAGAAGTAATTTATTGTTTCATTATTAGTTCAGGTAAAGACCCTTTCAATTGTTAACTTCATTGCCTACAAATCACTACTACATATTACTCTGTAAGATTTTGTTAGAGCTTAAAATCCAACTATTTCATTCCATACTCTACTCTTCTTGTTAAAATTTCTTAAAGGCTTTTATTTTCAAGGTTTCCTTTTTCAGTTAGTGGATTTCTTTTTTTGGGATCATTATTTCTGGCCTGATAGACAAAAAGATCTTTTTGTTTTATCTTTTTTATTAATTTCTTGTGTTCATTTTTATTTGATTACCTTTTCACATTTCTTGTTTCAGACTTGATTATAGACTCTTTTTTGCATTTTTATTATTCACTTTCTTATTATTCTTCCTATATGTTTACCTTGATATTTTAGATCTATTACTTCTAGGATAAGGTTAGTTTTTATAAGACCAGTATAAAATCTGACTGGTTCTAAAAGTCTGTTTCACTACTTTAGTAATCCATTTGTCAAACTTATATTTTTTTACAATTATCAATATCAGTCTGAAATTTTTTTTTAGTTTCTCTCTTTCTTTCCTACAATAGCTCTTTAAAGTTTTAATAATTCCATCTATTTCTTTATTTCATGCCTCTTATAGTTGGTTCTTATGAACTGAATTTTAGCAAGTGTTCTATGGTTTCATCTTATTGGCTACATACAATATATATTACTTGCTTATATAGATCTGGTCTTCTTATAGTCAACTTACTTAAGATAAGTAGCTTATAATTGACTAGTTTAATAAGAAAGCTTCTTTATTGAGATTGTTTAAAAGATATATTACATGTGTATCCATCTTTAACTCTTTTACATACTAGGTCCCATATGTGGACCTGGTATTCTGAAATCTAATAACTCTATTTTTTCTCTGTTCTATTTTGCTATGTTCTCTGATAGGCTGTTGTCATATTATTAATATTCTTAATAAACTGCCTATTTGAATTATCTAGAGTTGCCCTTATTACTTAATTTCAGTAATAATTTTGTGTAAAGTGAGATCTTTCTATTCAATTAATAAAAAATTTAGGACTTTTTTAGCTAAGGTATTTATTTTTTATTATAAGGATCATTTGAGTATGTCTTGATTTTTGTGAGCTTTAGATTTATGTCTTTATTTTTATTAGCCCTACCATGTATACCATAGAAATCAATTTTTTTCTTTGAGTCCTCTCTTGTGTATCTTTTTCAAATTTTCTTTTTCTAAAGATTTCCATTTTGAAATACATACTTGACTATCTGTAAAAATTTCTACCATGCTTTCAATTGAAACTAAAAGGAGTATTATTATAATTGCTATCAATTCAACTCATAGATAAGAGCCAATTATTTACTCCTATTTGAAACTTGAATTTTTTTTCTTCTTTTTCTATTTGAATCCAGGTTGCTCCTATCTTCATATCTTTTTTTTATGATTAATAAGTGATTCATGGAAATAAAAGATTGGTTTTTCTTTAGATCCAAGATTATGTTAAAGTATATTTATCAATTAATTTTGATATACTGCCTTTTCTAATATATTCTTTAATAATAGATTCTTCCTAGGTTTTGATATTCACATGATTTACACTTTTATTTTGGATCTTGAAAGTGCTTTGATTACTGTAAATTACTTCTTTAATTTTTTTTTCAAGTGCTGACTTGGGATTGGGGATTTTTAAGTCACATGTTCTTCTGGTAGACTTTCTTGTATTGAGGTATGGTACTATGTATATTTTTCTCATTTCTCTTTTATAATATAGTTACCATTTATTGTTGTGTCTTCTGAACATTCCAGGTATTTTTGTATATTGGTCTCCTAATCATTATTGAAACTATAACTGGTAAAATGCTTTACTATCACAAAATTTCCCTTTTTTTCTTGTCTTAATTTTTCTCAAGTTACTAGATTTCTTTTATTTTTTATCACTATTCACAATTTTTTTCACTTGTCTCAACTAGAATCTAGTTTTAAGTATTCTGGTTTCCATTTCATATAATTTTCTCTCTCAGATCTTACAAATTGCTTTAGTTGTTCTCCTGAAAGATTTTGGCTATAATCTGTAACTATTCTAGTATAAATCCTTGCTTATATTTTATAGGAGCTAAAGCATTTGCTAGTCTCTTATTTTTTTAGTTTTCTAATCAATCAGCTAATCCAGGTATATCAGTTAATTGTTTCTAAGTGATGAAATAGTTTTTTTATATTCTTTCGATACAAGGTATTTTTCACTACAAATGTTTTCTTTTTTCCATTTAAAGGTATCTTATTATTTCTAACTATAAAATGTTATTTCCATATCTTTAGCAATTTTGATCACTTGAAGTATAAATGTTACCTTTATCTATTAGATAACTTAAGGATTTGCAGATTAATAAATTGAGTAGTTTCCAATTTTTTATTTATGCTTGTTTGAGTTTAATAATTTTTGTGATTTCTAATAATCTGAGATCATTTGGTCTATTGCAAAATCCTGTTACTTGGCTTTCTCTTTTTAATATTCAAACACTTTTCAAGTTAT